GAAGTAAAAACAATTAAGCATATGATGAGAACTAGAAAAACAACAGAAAATTCGAAGAACAAAAAAAATTGATGCATGCACTCAGTATCCATGAAATATTAAAAGACATTTAAATACAACAAAAGGAGAAGGAATATAATAAAAAAAACAAAGCCTTTATGAAATTAAGTATTCGTGATAACAAGTTTGAAGTAGGTCGTAAATTACTTTACAAATAAAAGAATAAAAATAAAGAAAAATAAATTAATAAGTGTTTACGTGTAAATCTGGAGAGATCTCGAATGAGATCTTCTTAAATTTGTGCCAAATGAGTTAAAATTGAATAGATCGATAGAAAAATGGGGCGGTCGAATTACATATTCAAAACTAATGTAGATCCAAGAAAATCTGACCCTTTTCTAATTGGCTGACAGCATCAATTGAAATCTCACACCAAATAAATCTTTAAAAGCTAGAACTAAGAAATTTAACAAAAGAAAATTAAATAAAACAATAAATAAAAGAAAGGAAGAGATCACTGACATGAGAAAACTCTTAATTAAGAACGTTAGTTGATTTACACCTTTGTTGTCTTATCTTTCTTTATTGAAGAAGCGGCTTTCAAAGTTTTTTAGGTCTAGTAAATCTTTTGTTCCTAAGGTTTGATTTTTTAAGGTTTTGAGAATTTTTCAAGGGGATTTTGGCTTAGGATTTTTAGCCTAGGTTTTTTTTAATCTAAGGATCTTGTCCTAATTTTCTCAGGGATTTAGATTTTTCTACGAATTTTCAAGGATGTTTTGATCAATTTTCAATGGGGAACTAGAGGGGTTTATATAGGCTCAGAAATTTAAGGGGGTGCGCTATGTTTATAAGGTATAAACCTTAAATAATCAAAGTAGCAAACCTCTAAATCTTGCTAAAAGATGCATTTCGGGTCCCAAAAACTCTTACAGTACTTTAAAAATATATTTTTGTCCTTAATTATTAAATTCAAAGCTCCAAAAAATGTATATTAAGCATATCTATGAATACTTACAATTTTTAAAATTGATGGTCTACATTATAAGTTACAAGATGCACAATTTTTAAACCTTGAAACCCTTTCTTTTCTGGATATGCATTTCGTGGTCAATTATTAATTCTAGGGTTTTCAGACACCAAAACAACAATTTCCGATGGAATCGTAACGCGTGCCTTACCTCCACAATAAACCGTTCGCACACTATAAAAATTCTTTCCTAATACAATTTATGCTTATAGTTTGATAGAAAATTATGTCAAAGTATCAAAGTCTAACCATAGTTCCAAAAAGCGCTAGGAGGGTCCTAGGCGGAATGGGGGGTCCCGGCTGCCCGTGCCTAGGTGGGGGCCCAGAACCTGGGCGGCCCAGTTGAATGCAAAAAGGGTGCCCAGTCAAAGATGCTTCTAAGGACTCAAAATCTTCTAAAAAACCCCCCATAGATTTATAAAACATCAAAAAGTAAATATAATATCAATGGGTGATGTTTTGATCAATTTTTGTCAATTTTGAAAAAAAAAAAAAATTTCGGCCTCTGGGAGGGGTGGCCGCCTAGGCAGGGCATAGGCCCTGGGCAGCCTCCTTGGGCTAGGCATTGGGCGCCCGCCTAGGTGGGTTCTGTACCACCTAGGCAGCTGCCCAGATTGGCCGCCTAGGCCTAAGCAATGCGCCCAATTAATAATTCATAAAAAAAACCTAGAAATATCTCATAAGGTAATTTTAATGTATGGAAGTTTAATGAAACCGTAACAGTAATTTATTCCAAATTGTTAAATTTCTTTAAAATAGATAAGTTAGTAACAAATGTAATTGAAAACTCTTAAAAATTTAGAATTTTAGACCTAAAATATTTTCAAATTAGTATTCTTTTATATTAGTAAATAGAATATTATATTATATTTTTTAATAAACTAAAATAAAATTTCTTATAATTAACTATTTTTGGAGTTGATTATAAACAAATTTTGAAAAAAAAAAGGAATAAAATTATCTAAAACTGGAAGAAACTATATTCTCATATTTCTGTTTTTTGGAGTTAATCGTTAATAAACTATGAAATTGGAAATGGTCATGAAATGTTTTCATATAATGAAATTGATCATTTTTTTTTGTCTTTTAAATAAAAATGAGACATAAATGAAATTTAAGGCATTTAAAATTCTGAAATTAAAAATACAAAATATTTAATGCTAGTTTAACATTTTTGGCAAAGATTGATTAACTTATTTTAGAAGCTTAAAATTCTCAATTTAAATTTGTGAAAAATTTAAATGCATCAAGAAAATAAAGCTTGCAAGACATCTAAGTTATTATAATAATTTAAAATAGAAAATAATAGAAGAATTACAAAACTAGAAAAAACCAATGAAAAGGAAACGCTAAACACGCATGTCTTAAAAAAAATTAATTGAAATTAAAAATTGGAAAACATGAAAGAACAAAAAAAGAAAAAAAAAAACACTCTAAAACAATATATAGGTAAGTAGACACACACGACTATAAAAAAAATTAATTGAAATTTAAATATTGGAATATGCTAAAGTACAAAAATAAAAAAGAATATAAAAGCGTTAAGAAACTGTTAAATATAAAAAAATTACATATTGGAAAGCTCGCTGTCTTTCTTTCTCTCTCTCTCTCTCGTTAGGATTAGGTAAAAGTCGGGTACTATGGGATTAGGCAGAAGTTGGCATCCTCCCCCATGTCTTTATTTTTCATCCAACCTTCAAACTTAAAGGGAACTATGCCGTGACTTTGTTTTCTTTTAAAATATTATGTCATGGCCACGGCTATTTCTTTTAAAATATAATTCATCTTATTCAACTAGTATTTTTTACCATAAACATCACACAACTTATTCAAATACAGTTTCCACCTATAATCTCTTAAAATATATTTTTCTTTTAAATATGGAAAAGGTTTCATACCATGATCATCTTGACCTCGATAATAAATCTTTAAAATTTTTGATACAAAATCCATCTTTAAGGTGTATTTTAGAGGAGGGCCGCACGTGTACATATGAGCTGGTTGACTCATAGAAACCCCGCCCTTTAAATATTCATTATTCTAAAGTGTTTGAAAATCTTCTTAAGTCTGTCTTTCACCCAATAAAGATTAGGAAAATTGAAAATCTTCTTAAGTCTGTCTTTCACCCAAAAAAGATTAGGAAAATTGTTTCATGCAAGGTGGACCGCATGAGTACATATGTGGTCCAAAACTTGTAAAACATCCATCTTAAAGATGGATGCAAGTAGGTGTTTTATCTATGAACAATGAAAACTAACAGTTCAATTATTTTCTTGCTAGAATTATTATTTCTAATTTTAAATTTACTCTCTTTTTTCTTATTCATGATCTCCATGTTAGAGATTATATATTTTTAAAAATTAATTCCAAAAATTCATCTTAAAAATAGATTTATTAATAGACCTGACCGCATAGAAACTGGGTCCTAAAATTTAATGTTCTCCATCAATATTCATGAAAAATGGCTGTGCCATTTTGCTATTTACCCTACATGGTGCCCTAAACTCTTCTTTAAATATCGCTTGCCTTGCGTCCTTTCCGCGGAAAGTGTCCTCCATTATTATCGGGGCACATACCTACTGTTGCGTAATAACACAGCATAAATAATAAAGAAAATGACATTTTATTCAATAAAGCATTCATTGCATAGCCTGTACAAATGCATGTGATACTAGGTTTTTAATTTTAGTACTTCAGATAATTCTATGAAAGAAAAAAAAATCAAAGTAGTAAATTAATGACCGTTATTTGGAAAAGGAAAAAGTTTATATAAAGTTGCAAGAATTAAAGATGCATCTCAAAAATCCATTGGAAAAAGTTGTTTTAATGTTGAAAAACCCTTTAATTGATCATCTTGACATTGAGAAGGAAAACAAATAAAAATTGAGTCCCAGAAATAGTGCATCTTGCAACACATTATCTACCCCGTCTAGTTTCATGATTTTTATATATTATAGATCTACTCGATTTTAACCAATTTTTAGGTTCAAAATTTTATAATTCGATCTGAAAATAGATTTTTAGATAATCCTAATAATTTTTTACACGAGGAGGTGCCCCTTAATTGGATTTATCAGTAGGTGCACCTTAATTGGATGGTTTAAGATTGTAACCTTATAGAAACCACGCCCTTTTGAAAAAGTTTTTATTTTAAAAGTTTCTATTTTAAACATTCAAATAACTATTTAAACGCGCCTTTTCCATTCCATTTTGCCCCTTATTTGAATCATAGCTTTAAAAGTTACTTGCATTCGCTGGTCTCAAATGAAACCATATAGTTTCCATGGATTATGGAAGAAAGATGAAGCTAAGGACAATGGGTAACTTAAAAAAGAAAAGTATACAATAAGATCATTTTTCCTAGTATAAAGTGATCACAATTAATCTTGTCTATTGGATGTAAAACTAGGTGGCTGGATTTATTCCATTGATCAAGGTCCAAGCTCAAATTGAAACCATATAGTTTCCATGGATTATGGATGAAAGATGAAGCTAAGTACAATGGGTAATTTAAAAAAAAAAAGAATACAATAAGATCATTTATCCTTAGTACAAAGTGATCACAATTAATTTTGTCTATTGGATGTGAAACTAGGTGGCTGGATTTATTCCATTGACCAAGCTCCAAGTTCAAATTGAAACCATATAGTTTCCATGGATTATGGATGAAAGATGAAGTTAAGTACAATGGGTAATTTAAACAAAAAAAAAGATATAATATTGCCATTTATCTTTGGTACAAAGTGCTCATAATTAATCTTGTCTATTGGATGTGAAACTAGGTAGTTGGATTTATTCCATTGACCAAGTTCAAAGTTCAAAAGATATCTCTCGAACTTTGTGATACCTAAACTAGGTGGCTGGATTTATTCTATTGACCAAGCTCAAAATTCAAAAGAAATCTTTCTAACTTTGTGACACCTAAACTATCAGAAAGAAATCTTCTCAAACCCTATAATTTTCTTAAATTATTTTAAGTGCTTGTGTGGCGAACCAGCGAGCTTGTATGGTGGCTGGTTCGCATCGTACCCAATTGGTAGTTCATGCAATGGTGCCTGCAACGAAAGGAGCCGGGGTGTGTTGTTGGAGAACAGATGCACCACTTCTTTTTATTCCCTTCCACCCCTTTCTCTGCCTCTGCTTCTTGCTTTGGAGCAGGCACTCTTTCCTGCTGCTGCTGCAAGATGCCTCTTCCTACAAGATAGACAGGCCACAAAGAAGATTAAAATGAGGAAGAAAATTTTCAAATTGCATGAAAAATGTCCTGAGAATGAACAAGGAAAATCCAATTTTCAAATTGCATGAAAACTATCCTGAGAATGAACAAGAAACATCCAATTTACGCAGAGAGAGATTGAGGTGTTGAAGAAATCAAAATTCAATCTTTTTGAAAAACATAGTCATCTAGTTGTTTTTAGGGAGTCATATTTTTATTGTGATCTACTTTATTCCAATAAAATCCAACTGAGCATAATTTGCCAAAAAAATTTAGGCCAATAACAATATGTAAAACCCCATCATATATCCCATCCCTTTAGTTTAACCATGAACAGGCAGTCTTGAATTTCACGGTTAAAAGATTGTGTATCATACCTACAATATGCTAATTAACAACATGATACTTAATGTATTTAACTATTTAGGGTTTAGATGTTGAATAGATTAGTTGATAGGCCTCAAGCCATATGAAAAGCACCATGCAAAAAGCCAAAAGCAAAAGAAAAAAAGATAAACAATGTCATTGTTGTTAATGTTCTTCTTTTTGAAGAGTTAATACCAAAGATTGTTAATTAGTTAACCCTTAAAAAAAAAAGAAAAAAAAAAAGAGACATAGAATTCTATTCCTCTCTTTATAAATATTCTGACCCTCATATGGTGAAAGCAACAATCTATGGAGGCAAAGTTTTAAAGAAGATGTAGATTCCTATATTCGATTTCTAAGATTATAAACCGATTATTTCCAGGAGTTTGTGTGGTGGGTGTTTTGCTTACTGCCCCACTGGTAGAACATACGATGACGCCGGCAGCGGAAGGAGCCGGGGTGCGGTGCGGGAGAGCAGATGCACCAATTCTTCTTCTTATTTACTTTGACCTCTGCGTTTGCCACCGCCATCTGTGCCTCTCGATCTCGAGCCTCCTCGGCCACAACGAAGAATTTACAAAGAGAAAAACTTAAATCTGATGAAAATGAGAGATTCCCAGAGGAAGATACAGAGTTTTAAAGGGAGGATGATATGAGAGTTGTGATATTTTAAGATAGAAAGGATGAAGAGTTATTTATAGAATAACTCCAATATGAAGTCCCATCACATGTTATCTCCATGTTATAACCCATTAAGGAAGGGAGTTTAATCTGGCACAAGGAAATAAGTATGTAGGATTTTTTTCTATATAATCTGTTAGGAACTTCACCTAGATTTAAGACTGAAATATCGGAAGATGCGTATGTATAGCATTTTTAGATAGATAATTATTTAGAGATTTAAAAGAGTAACAGTGATAGGAACTTCCTCGTTGTTAGGATTTTTTTTAAGTGATCTTTCTAGCAACTCTGCAAGACGATATTTTAGGAACTTCACCTAGATTTAGGATTGAAATATTTGAAGATGACATGCGAAGTTTCTTAAGAAATATGGACAATTATCATTAGAAAAGAAGAAAAGAAATATGGACAATTATCTAGAGGATGAAATGAATAATAACACGATCTTCCCATGAGGATTGAAATATTTTAAGATATGTATGTAGATATAGATAACTAGCAAGAATTTGTTAAGAAATTAACAATGGGTATTTTATTTTTTTAAGGAAAAGTTTTACAGTTAGATATGAATGCTACGAACTTTTAGAAGGAACAACCACCTATTATAATAATTGAAGTAATTAAAATTAGATATGTAGACAATATTAATTCACAACAACCCATTTTTTAAAAGAAAAATGATACGACCTTCCTAGTTTAAAAAATATGCGTTTGCTAAATATTTAAAGATATGTATGTAGATTGTAGATAATTATCATTTTTGTTTTAAAACATATTAATGGAGAGTATTTTTCTATGAATTTTTTTTCAAAATTAAATTTGACTGGATTTTAATATTTGGTGTGCGTTGCTATAATATTAAAAAAAGAAAACTAAGATTGGCAAATTTGGTCCGTAAAAATTGATTCATGGTTAATTGATCATTTATAATAAACAAAGCATTCATTATTGTCAAATATTCCACGTAATGAAAACTAGATATGAAGACAATATTAATCCATACGCACCCATTATTGTCAAATAACCCAAGTAGTATATTTTACGTGTAATAAAATAGACAAGGATAATAGAGACCAAAAAGAATTGAGATAATATGATCATGTAATTAAATACGGATCCATCTATGCTGCCCTAAACGGCTACTTATTAAGGGTATCATCCCTCCTACATCCTCTCCCGTGTTTGAAAAGTCGGTGGAGTCGAACCAGGTGGTAGCATCACGAGGTGGTCGCATCACGTGTTTCCGCACGTATACTTCATATCATATTACATAGTTATTTATATAGCAAAGTTAAATACCTATCCTTCGATCTCCCAACATCCTCTCCAGTGTTTGAAAAATATCATATTCATAGTTATTTATATAGCAAAGTTGGATACCCATCAGCACACATGCTTCATATCATATTACATAGTTTTTTATGTAGCAAAGTTGAATACCCGTCCTTCGATCTTCATATCATGTTACATAGTTATTTATATAGCAAAGTTGAATACCCATCCTTCGATCTCCCTACATCCTCTCCAGTGTTTGAAAAATATCATATTACATAGTTATTTATATAGCAAAGTTGGATATCCATCAGCACGCATGCTTCATATCATATTACAGCGTTATTTATGTAGCAAAGTTGAATACCTGTCCCCATCCTTCGATTTCCCTACATCCTCTCCAGTGTTTGAAATGTCAGCGAGATCTTCATATCATGTTACATAGTTATTTATATAACAAAGTTGAATACCCCTCCTTCGATCTCCCTACATCCTCTCCAGAGTTTGAAAAGTCAGCGGGATCTTCATATCATGTTACATAGTTATTTATATAGCAAAGTTGAATACCCATCCTTCGATCTCCATACATCATGTTACATAGTTATTTATATAGCAAAGTCGAATACCCATCCTTCGATCTCCCTACATCCTCTCCAGTGTTTGAAAATTTAGCGGAATCGAACCAGGCACTAGCATCATGTGGCACATATCACAAGTAGGGTTGCCACTGTGTCTCCGCACGCATGCTTCATATCATATTACATAGTTATTTATATAGCAAAGTTGATTGCCCATCCTTCGATGTGAGATAATTTTCAAACATCATTAAATGAAGACGGAATTTAAATATATTGTATTAATAGGCAACATATCATTACATGTGGTGAGGAGGCATGATGGTTATGACCGTCGCTCTTTTCCTTGACCTCCCAAGATTGAATCCCCTTGGGCGTCATATAATATGTAATTTCGAATCCCCTTGAGCGTTATGTAATATGTAATTTTTGTTGTATATAGTGGTATAATTATTTTTGTTGTAAATAATATAAAAGGCATAAAAAAATGAAAAATAAAAACTTTATTCTATTTGAAATCTCTCTCTTTCTACTAACAATCTCTTTCACTAAATTTATTATAGAAACAAAAAAAATTAAATTTTTGAAAAATTAAAGTATTATTTCCAAAATCTGTACGTATTTTATTAATTTTTACATTGATAACCATTTTTTTTTATTTATTTATTAATTTTTACATTATAAATCATGTAATGTACAATTTTTCTTACAGTTGTCAATAATACATTTTAAATTAGATAATATTATAACATATTTTGAATTTGTTATTATTTGTATAATAAAATAATTATAAAATGTAAACTAATAATTATAATTTCAGTATATAACATTATAATTAATTAAGTTGTAATAATTTTGGATTATAGTTAGTTAGGTTGTAATAATTTGGGCTTTTTTAGCGGATTAGGGTTTTTCGCCAAAACAAAATTTTAGAGGCCATTCTTTCATTGATTTAGTCTACTGTTTATTATAGTCCATGTATAATTATATATTTTATCTATGATAATTCTATAATTTTTCTTTTATGTGATGTAAATTTAATGGTTAACATAAGTTTAAACAGGGAAAGAGCATCTCAATTTTCAAATTGATGAAAAAAATGAAAGTTAATAATGTAATACCTTCATTTTTTATTGGATTCTTAAAAGATATCATTTATAATGAATTTTAATAATTTTTTTGGAATTTTTTAAAAGCTTAATCAGATTGATTTGGCCAATTCTCGATCCAGATTGCCGATTCACCGATTCGGATGGGTTTTTGAAGTGCCCAATCCAGGGCACCGATCCATTTTTTAAACCACTGATCCTCTCTTAAGATAAGATCCTCTTTATTCTTGAGATAGGACATTAACTATGACAAAATAAAGATTGGAAAAAGTTTATATAGAGTTGAGGCTCTAAACAATAAATTTAGAGCCCACCTCAAAAATTTAACTAGAAGAGGTTGTTTTGATGCCCAAATATCCTCAAATTGATCATCTCGACTTTAAGATGCATGGATATGAGAAAAAAATGGATTTCAAGTTTTGGAAATAGTACACGTTGTAATGCATTCTTGGACCATCAATTTTCAAGATTTTCAAGATTTTCAAGTTTGCATAGAGTTGCTTGATCTACACTATTTTTTAAGCTTTAAATTTAATAATTAAAGATTAAAATATATTTGAAGGCTATCACAAAGATTTCCAGTATTGAAACCACATTTCGGGACACTATTTGAAGCTTTACTTTGATTGTTTAGAGCCTTGACTCTATACAAACCATATCCATAAAGTTGGGATTATATAGAAAGATTAAATAAAAGAAAGCTTCATGTACTTCTCTTAATGCATAGTAGTTATATACTTCCCTTTATCTAGCCATCAGATCTGAATGAATGGGCTAAGATGGATTTTATAACAATGTCAGGCATCTATTTTATTTTGATGGTTTTTCTATAAAACATTTTTCTACCAAATTTTGGGTGTCCACTCCTCTCTTAACCTCGCACCTACAAGCCATAAAAAAATACTCTTGAAAAAATAAATGAAATAACTACAATACCCTTAAAAGTTTCAGGGGTATTTGGGTCATTTTATTTTATTGAAAATATTATTTTATTTTTCATTTTTAGGTGGGCACGTACTAAATTTTATATTCATATAATTTGTAGAATGAAAACTAAAAATAAAATACTTTAAAGCATCAGATCTATATAAAACGGTCAATGACTTATTTTATCTAAATTGGATGGCTGGATGGGGAAGTAGAAGAAGTATAAAAACCATTCCCATATATCGTTTTCCCTAAAATATTAACAAAAAAAAAAAATTTAAAAAAGCTATGTTCTTTTCTCGAGGGAGCGTACTATTTTATCACGTTATGGTTGCGCTTGTTTCTACAGTCCATTTTGGATGGATATTGAGATACTTGTACATATTGCTAGTATGCATAAGGAAAATCTATGTTCCTTTACATTACTTAATAATTAAGTAATATTATATACAATAAAACACCTGTGCGAAATAGTTAACATGCCAAATAGTTAACATAACACTATTATCCATAATATTAATTTTAGATAAAATAATCTATTCTAGATAAAGGTAATTGTCATTCAAACATGCCCTTAGCATGGATCATATCCATTCCACTGTTTTATACGAGAGAAAATAATAGTGAAAAGATCCTATCGCAATTGAGAGTATAACAATGTATAGAGTCTATACAATTAATTTTTCAAATTCTTTTGTGAATTTTAGATTCTAATGTGAATTTTAGATAAACTCATTCACACCCAAAAAATACGAAACCCTTTTGTGATTGTACCAGTTCAGGAGCTTAATTGTAGTGTATTATTACATTGTATCATAAAGTCCAACCCCTGATTGAAAGAGCGGGTGGTTTTGATGGACAACAATAACAAACACAATTTGTTCAATATTTTTCTAAGTGTGACACCCCAACCATCGTTTGGGTCCCACTTTCCACCAAAGAATCATTCAATCTAAACCTTATTGGGATTCAAACCTTGACTCCTTTTGGAAAAGTGGGAGACAGAATTCTGCATGCTATATGGCTCTATCTTTTTGTTACTCCACATGGTAAGGACATCACTCAAGTGGGTGTGAGGAGAAACTTGA